AACACATTTTGGGAGCTGGGGGCTCTGCTTACATTTAAGGGAGACAGCACTGTCTGACCTGAGATTGGAGGTTGCTTTCCAGTGTGAAGGAGTGTGAGGGCGCAGGCACAGACACAGTGAGAACAGGGTCACTTTACTGGTATAGAGACTGCACAGAGACTGGGGTTTAGCTGTTGGCAGCTATGGTGTCCTTAATCCAGGCCAAATAGTTGTAGACCTTGGTGTAGACTCCAGGGTTGTTCTTCTGGGCACAGCCATAACCCCAGGACACAACTCCTTGGAGCTGTCCGTTGTAGACCACAGGCCCACCAGAGTCGCCCTGGGGAGAAGAAGGTACATGTTGTATGGAGAGATGGAGGAGGAATATAGCTATATTTACTCTGAACCTTAAAAGACCCCTTTCCAGCCAACTCTGTGGCTCCACATCCTTCTCACGGTGGCCCATTCTCTGTTCTTCCTAAGCAGACAGCATGTAGCCCAAGGGAGCCTTCCTCACTTCTCCATGGGGACACTGCAGGGAGCCTCCTCCGCCTCGCCACCTTGGCAGTTGAAATCTTTTATCGAGATGGGGCTGAGTATCAGTGGGAGCTTCAGCATGGGAAGGGTTGTTCAAATCACCTGGCAGGAATCCTTGCCTCCCTCAAGGAAGCCCACACAGAACATGTTGCTGGTAATCCTTCCAGGGTAGGAGGCTTCACACTCAGCCTGAGTCAGCACAGGAGCATCCAGGCACTGTAGCTCATCTGGGTAGTCGGCTGTGAGGATCAGGAACAGATCAAAAAAAGTCGAAATGTGGGTCAGGCCGGAGAAGGAGACAATAATCTAGGATGGAACAGTGAATAGGAACACTGCTCCTGGAGAGGACTCTAAAACGTAAGTCCTGGCAAGGGACTCTGGCTTTTAGTTCCCAGAATGATCATTGTTGAACCCCTCCCAAGATGTGATCACGGCAAGCTCTCCATTTGTCCTGTCTTTTGTATTAGGAGCCAAGTCCTTAGACTTTGCATCTCTCTCATGTTCAGTGCAGAGCCTGTGTATAATGGGCATTGGAAATGTATCTTAAGCCTGGGGGCGAGAGGATTCAAATTAAGGGATATGCTTCATTCTGGAAATAGGGAGGATGGAGGGAAGGAGAAAGACAAAGGGTCCCACTCACCGCCAGAGCTCAGAGTGTTGCCCCAGCCAGAAATGAGGCACACAGTGCCAGGTGCTAGAGGGGAGGTGGGCAGAGAGATGGTAGACACACGGGCATTGATGACAGCAGGTGTGGAAAGCTTGATCAGCATGATGTCATTGTTATATTTCTTAACCTCGTTGTAGTTGGGGTGCGGGATGATCTTGGCTGCACTGATGAACTGCTCAGACCCCTCCAGGACTTCGATGTTGTGCTCTCCCAGTCTCACCTGGATGCGGCTGATGAGCAGGGCAGGCATGGTGAAGACCTTCTCCCACAGCCGGGGCACCCATCCCACCTTCCCTAGGGTCCTTAAGCTCCCTGCTCATGGACAGCTCTGGAGGCATGGGGT